CGCGGACAAAGGGCCTCCACAGAAATCGGTTGCAAGCATGAGTAGACAAAACAGAGTCTTGGTCGCAAGCACGAATAGACAAAACAGAGTGTGCACTTACGGTTGCTTCAATGAAATGTGTTGTGCCCGCTGTGCACTGCGATGGGACAAAATCCGATCCCCATGTCTCGACCTGACCCCGTGTCCCGATCCGAACCTCATGTCCAGATTTTTTTTGTAGCGCACTGGTTGTGGGACATAATAAGCAATCGCATTGCGATTGTTGTTGAGTTTGCCACAGGAGGCAAAGATGATCCGGCGAACAAGGTCCACAAGCGTAAACCATTTTTTGTCAACAGCGGCCATCCGGAGACGGTCAGGTTTGGAGCTAACAACATCTTGTGGAGCGGCATGGCATCGACAAGACTGGTTTTTAGTTTTCGTGTGAAGTCCAAAGGGGAAGAAAGGAAGGATTTGGTCATGCTTTGTCGCATGCAGACTTGAGTATATTTTTATAGTGAAAAAACCCAAAGGTCTTGGCAGACGTTTTGTAAACGGTTAATCGGTCATCGGTCATACATGCGAAATCCTAACTGTTGGTTGATGCGAAACTGGGCTTCCCTGTACGAAACTCGCAAATTCGAAAGCAAACGCTTGCATTTTCCAGCATAAAAGCACTGCGAAATCTTGCGGATGGTTGCGGGAAGCTGTCCGCAATGTTACGTTCCCCGGCAACATATTGGTTTGCAGGTGAAGCAGCCTTGTGTTCTAAGGCAGGTGTTGCACGTGTTTTTGAGCAGATGCATATTGCACGCCGCGACATGTTGCTGTCTGAAGCATGCATGAAACACCAGTTTGAAGTTGGGTGTCGTTGTGGAACGTGGTAGGTGGCAATCTTGTGCCGTAGTGCAGCTTTTGGTGAGCGCGCTCGGCATAATTCAGTCATGAGATGCATCAGATGGGCCGCTCGCTTGCACATAATATGTTTTGCCTGGAGCGCAGAGTGGCCAATTACCTGCTCCACGCGCCTGTCATGCCTGCTTGGACCGAATCGGAGATGACGGCCTGGCCGCAAAAAATAACATAGGCTTCGCAGAACTGCATTTCGTACAGCCGCAATAACAGCTGGGTGCATGTAGTAAACCGCAGCATCATCTTATTGCGAAGTTCTATCAAAACACACTTAGTATTCTACAGCGGTTTCCATCAGTAAGACTTTTCAGGGGAGTCGCTTCAAGCCAAAGCCTACCGCTTTCGAACTAAGCTTAGCCGAATGCTGGTTTTTGCAAACCAGCCAACCCTGCACTCCAAATCCAAGCAGGTGCAACTTCATCCTACAACACCCAACCATAGCTATTGCACCCTAAGCCTTAAAACCTTTGCTCTAAGCCCTAAGCCAGCCTAAACCCTAAACCCTTAAACCCTAAAGCCCTAGAAAGCCTGCAAGAACCCAAAAGCCTGAAAAGCCTCTGTCAGGGAGTGGCAGCGGCCCTGGGGTTTTTGGCGTGCTGGAACTTGTCGAAGATGCCCTTCTACTGGGAGATCGGTTGCATGCCAGGGTTGAGGCATTGGGGCTTAGGGTTTAGAGGGTTCAGGGCTTTTGAAGCAGAGATCGGTTGCATGCTTGTCCGTGGTTCTAGGCCGGTAGGTGACTGGCGCAAACACATGCATAAATAGAATTAAATCAGGATCAGGAATCTTTATCATTATGCTATCATGCTTAGTATTGTTGTCATGAGCGGAACTACCACCGTTCTCAATCCTCTTGCCAAGCATGTTTGAGGCATGAAATGTAGTGTCCATGGATTTCAATCCGGAAACTCGCAGTGTCATCGAAAGGAGACGCAACCGTTCACGGATGCTGACTACGATGCGGCACTATGTGCCAGCGTGAACCGCACAAAGCAGTGTTCTGGGTTGACAACGCAGCTGGACTGCAGCTTTGACTTCGTGCAGCAACCCTGCCGGACTTTGGATCTGTGGTATCTTCTCGGTGTTTGAGCTGCTTTGCACCTGATCTGTCCTGCCTGAGGCAGTACCACCTCTACCGGGCTTTCGGGATCACCTCGAAGTACAAGTTGCAATGTGCGAAGGCTCGTGTCAAAGTTTCGTCTAATGGCCGACAGCCTCGTGCCCTAAACCCTAAACCGTTGTCTTGATCGCAGGATCTCTTCCTCATACCACACACGGCGCTCGGAGTGTGCTTGGCTGCTTGACTGCAGAGGTTTTGGATCATTGGCGTCATACCCATGGGCCCTAAACCCTAAACCCTGGGGATGCGCTCTCAGGAGATCCTCTTCATCTTCGCCCTCTGCATCGGAAACCGAGGCATTCATCAGAGCACGAAGCCCTGCACAACCCATCCTACACCCCAAGCCCCTAAACCCTAAACCCTAAACCCTACGAAACCATCCTATGCCAGTCTTAAGACCCTTGGACCCCCGTGGCCTTGCAAAGACTGTGAAGCTTCCAAGAAGCCAGGACCCCAAACACAAAAAAAAATGATTTCAATGACCATGGTAATAATGGTGATGAATGATACCAGTGGTAATATTATTATCAATAACAAGACTGAGAAGAAAAAAAGGCAAGAACAACCCTAAACTCGAAACAGGACTTTACGAGCACAGCAAGATCATGTTGCCCATGGCCGCCCTTTTTGCCTTGCACATCCTGCCAGCTGCTGGAGGTTTGGGGTCCTTAGGGTTTAGGGCTAAGGCTTGGGTTTCGAGGATTTCCCGTTTAACGGGCTTATAGTCTCTAGGGCTCAGGGAGATTTCGGGTTTAGGGTTTAGTGATAGAGGAGTGCGATGCGGAAGAGCCGGGGTTTGGCTTGGTAGAGGGCTGAAGTCAGAGGAGGCATTCTCGCATGGCCGTGTGTTGAAGCTGTCTCTTCCTTCGTCCCCCCCCAAGTCGCGTGTCGCATTGCAGGCATCCCGAACAGTCTCACGGGACTCCCTGTGAATCAGACCCTGGCCTGAGCCTGAGCCGCCTTGCCGTGTAGTGGCGTGATGCTTGTATGAACTCACGCGGGCACGTGCTTCGTTTGCGAACAGGTTTCACACTTTTGTGCACGCTCACAAGTGTATACATATACATATATATATAGATAGTGAGATATATATATACACACACATACATACACATGTATGTGCACATGAATTCGTAGCGAACAACAGCACATGAAATTTTATGCGCATGCACACAGCAGTACATCGTACATGCAAGTGTAAAGATTACGCATGCGCATAATTAGGTTCATGCACAAAGCCAGAGAATCCATAGATGTTCGCTTTCCTTTACATACAGATAGATGTGCCGATAGACAAAGGATGCAATGGTTTGACTGGTATTTACGTGCCCAAACAGATAAACCTTTACCGCTCTGGGCTCCACAGGATGTCGCACGTAGGCAAGCAAACGAACAGACATGTAACTGCATGTAATAGCAAAGAAGAAAGACATGCAGCATGCATGTGCATTCATTTCGGGGGCATGTCTTGTGCAGTTCCGTCTTGATGTCCATGTGCGTATAAACATATGCATGTTTACAGATGCACACATGTATGTGCTTTGCATGTGTGCAAGTATGGGTTTATGGATTCCTGGGCATATGCATGCATGCATGTATTCATCCACACTGGTGTGCATAGATACAAAAACACATAGGCACATATATATGTACATATATATATATATTTATATGTTAACATGCGGACTCGTCTTCGGCCTATGTTTGTTGCTTCATCATCAATAATACATCATCATCACCATCATCATCATTGCCCTGCTCTTTGCTCGAATGCGCCTCCAGAAAAGCTGTCACACAGACGGGGAGCATCCGAGCCTGCAGATCCTGAAGCTGATGTCGTATTCACTTTGTAATTAGTATTGTTATTATTGTTTTTCTTTCCTATGCAAAATCAGACTTTGGCTCTCCGCTTTTCGCTGCACCTCATCACACCCGAAAGTCGGAAGCCTTAATCTGAAGCCGAAAACAACGGCACATAAGGCCATCAACCCCAAGAGCCCTTAAAGCCCTAAAAGCCCTAAAAGCCCTGAAAGCCCTAAACCCTAAACCTTAAACGCCCATTACCCTAAAAATCCTGCTCCTGAAGTGCAGGAGGCGCCTTGACTCTTAAAGTTGCCTGGAAGAGCCTAAAGAAGCTTTCTGCTCTCCTGCGGTAGGGGGATCAGGGTGCTTAGCTACATAGACATAGCTGATACTTGGGATGATGAGGTACACCGAGTAGGGTGACCCTAGAAACGTGGTAACCTTACTTCTGGCTTACGTTGCTCAGTTTTTTTGATCCTTTCAGTATCCCTTGGGGCCGCAGGTGTTGCTGATCTTAGCGGCCGTGGCACTGGGCGCGGCGGGCATGTGGGTGCGGCCCTAATCAGCTTCCGCAGGTTTCGGGCTTCAGAGAGCGAATTCGACCTCCCCAAGCCTACAGCAAAACCGCCGAAGCTTACATCAAAACCCTGCTCCCCTAAAGCAGGGATGATAGTATCATGTCGGTGGTGCGTGTTGAGCCGCACGATGTTCACAAGGCGGACTATCATGCGAACGGCAAGGAGCCTCCTGTCCAGCAGCGTGCAGGGAGGTGACCTGGCATCTTTCATTCGCAGGTCCATCAGCGTCGTTAGTGTTTCAGGGTTCAGGGTTAAGGGTTACTCCAACTTGCGGACGGATTTCTAACTCGTAGCTGAATGAAGTTCAGAATGCCCTAAACCCTAAACCCTAGACTGTCGAGGGAGCCTTTAGCTTCTTGGTAGCAGGACTTGGGCGGGCTCCCCAGTCTGCCGCGGCTGGTGCACATGGCATGACTGCATATATGAAAAGAGAGCCCGAATGAATTCCTTTTGCACCAGGTTTGGGGTTTAGGGCTTAGGGATATGTGTGTGTGTGTGTGACAGTTTGCTTGAGCTCCTGATCTTGGCCGCACCCCGAAGCCATTCATCTGAGGCTGCTCTTCCTGTCCTGGATCCTAATTGGTGCCAGGGGCCCACCAGGGTTCTGTGCATGGGGCTTTAGGGTTTAGGGTGACGGTTTCGGACACAGTAACAGTTCTTCTGATCTTTTCAAAGTCTTTAGGGCCTAAACTGCTATGAGGCAGAGGAACGCGAGCGAGGAGACCAGCCCAGTGAGCCCAGCAGCCCAACCCCCTAGCCCAGCCCCCCCAGCTCAGCCCACCCAGCCCCATCCCCCGGCTCACCAATTCCCAGATTAGGTTTCTAAAGGAAAACCTACTCAAAACTTTCGGTCAAGACTTTCGCTCAAAAATTTCTGGCACCCAAACCCTTAAATTCTATAAACACTGAACCCCACATCGAGGCTCTTGTGAACTTAGCTCCCATCGGCGAGCCGGGAGCTCGGTGAATGATGTCACCTTCAGAGATGTTCGGGGGGTAGGGCTTTGGGTTTAGGGTCTTAGTCTTTAGGGTTTAGGGTTTTGGGGCCTTGTTGAGATTCTTAGTGTCTTCCTTGTCCTAATTCGGGGCGCATAGCGGTTGGGCTACTGCTGCGTTGAGAATGAGGCTGTCTGCTGCAAACTGCTGCTGTTTGACATCGTTTGACATCATTGTAAATACACTTCATGTTTCTGCTGAACACCGGTAATTTTGGAAAACTGTCAACCACTAACAACTACTCCTTCTCCTACTCCTGTGCCTACTCCTGTAGCAAGTAGTAGTAGTCATCGTCGTAGTAGCAGTAGCAGTAGCAGCAGTGCAGTGCAGCAGAGCAGTAGCAGTGGAAGTGGCAGTGGCAGTGGAAGTAGCAGTAGCAGCAGTAGCAGCAGTAGCAGCAGCAGCAGCAGCAGCAGCAGCAGCAGTGGCAGTCGCAGTCGCAGTCGCAGTCGCAGTCGCAGTCGCAGTCGCAGTAGCAGTAGCAGTAGTAGTCATAGTACTACTACTTGTTGTTGTTGTTGTTGCAGTTGTTGTGATGCTGCCGGTGGGAGTGGTGGCAGTACCGGTGGTGGTGACGGCAGTGTCGAAAGGTTTTCAGTGATGGTGTATCGGGCCATAGTACGTGCAGATGTGGGAGGAGGTCGAGGAAGAGGAGGAGCAGTGATGAGAAGTGGAGTAGCCGGACCGGTGCCTCAACACATTCAGAACCTCAAGAGGGGCTCTGGCTTCGCAGGTGGGCCATTCTCGCGAGCAGCTGGAACAGCAAAGCCTCCCCCGACGTTCCGCACCCGCTGTCGGGCCATGATTGGTACACTAAGCTCAGCTTCTGGGCTGCAGGCTCTTCTTTGTAGTGCTGATTTTTGCTCATCACCCTGCAGTTTTTTTTGCGTTGGTTTTATCGATGAGATTTGGTTCGGATGCTCAGTGACATTTTCTTTGGTCTGCTCTCGTGTGTTTTCTTGTCGTCATGGGCCAGGGTGGCTTCAGTCATCAGGCTCTACTTTCAACCCTAAAAATTCCCAAACCCTAAGACCCCAAAACCGTGAATCCCTAAACCCTAAACCCCAGGGGACGTCGCTCGGAGAAAATTTTTAAGTGCACCGAGACTACAGTCCCAACTTTCAAGTTTGTACATCTATCGGCTTAGGATCTACAGTTTAGGGCGTAGGGCTTTGGGTTTGGGGTTTAGGATCTAGCGCTTCGGGTTGAACGTTCAGGGTCGAGGGCTCCACCACCAGCAGCATGACCAACAGCAACATCAGCAGCAATAGCAGCATCATTAGACAGTTATGACACATAGTCGCACTCTGCATTGATTATGTCGTATTTAGATGAATAAGCTGAAAACGACGTAGATGTAGAACGTAAATGTTTATACAGACACGGATATACATACGCACGCGCACACACACAAACACATACATATATACACATATGTGCATATGTTTCTATATCTATATATATATATATGTGTCTGTATATATGTTTATATATATATACACATGTGTATAAATGTGTACATATATCTTTATCAAAATCTATATCTATATCTGTCTTTTTCTGCGTGTCTATGTGTTATGTCTAGGTCTATATCTATATCTACAGGCATATGTCTACACATATCTGTATTTGTATACTTACATATATACATACATACATACTTACATATATATACATACATACATACGTACATACGATTTCCTCACTTTCCTGTAGGTTCCTCACGGGAGTCGAAGCCAAGCTGACCCGAGAGGAACCTGTGCCCACTGGCAAGGCCAATGTCAATGTCACGAAGAGTTCTACTCATCATTCGGGCAGCCATGGGTGCTTGCCCAATTACTAGTGCAGTTTTGAGCAAGCTATGCTAAATGCATCACAACAAACAGACATGTGCAGTTGTCCCCACCAGTGCAGCCAAGACTGTCCTTGGTTGGGTCGAATTGCGCGGAGCTCAGTCTTCATTATCATCCTCTTGTGACCCCAGTTAGCGCCCGTGTGCACTACTGAAGAGCACGTCTTGAGCCTGTCAGGCGGCGATGTTCGCAATGTTTACCGTCTTCATGTATTCCTTCGACCCTTGACGGAAGATGAGTGCCGGAGAGCAGCTTTTTTGCAGCTGTACCCTCATGCGAGCAGACCGGGAGGGTCTGGCAAGACGTTTGGCGGCTGGAGTTCGCCACCATCTGTCGTGCAAGAACATCTCTTTCTGTGTCTGCCCGTGTGTGTCTCTGTGTGTGTGTGTGTATGTGTGTGAATGGGGTGCCTTAAAGATAGTGAGGATAGTGCATTATGGTTTTGCCAGTATAGTAACAAGAGCCAGAATCGCCACTTCATCGAGCATAAATATCTTCATAACTTGTAACAACACATAGCACATATTCCGTTGTCTGCTATATGACTTTGTGTTAAACGCACAACGAGATGTGTTAATTGCACGTACCTCCATGATCTATGTCGAGCTATCTAGCGGGCTCTGGGTGTGAAAGGACATGGCGCGTGCCCAGACGCAACTTTCAACGGCCACAACACATACAGTTTGGATTGTTTACGTAAAACTATCTCAGTCAATGAGCATCGCTGTACTTTGCATTCTAGGTTCTGTGATTTGTCTGTGCCTGTGCCTGGTTGTAGTCCTAGTAGAGCACGTGGGCACGTACCTGCAGAGTAATTGCTCAGACGGTCATATGTATACAGTGACAAAGACATGTGCGATCCTTTCTATGCTGCATATACTGCTCAGCATTTAGTACGACTCGCAAATGTAACATATATATATATATATGCACGTATAACCAGTGGTAGTGTATTGCACGCTCAAGCAGTATAGCATAGCAAAGCCCTGTACCTAAGTGTGTACAGACAGGCTTCACAGAGGGATAGGTAGATAGGTAGGTATGTATAAAGGTAGATAGGTAATAAACTAGGTAGACAGATACACTGACATTCACATGATGCATGCATGCAGGCATATCAAATCCATGTAGCTATGTATAGCATGACAAGTTTCATGCTTCATAAGTCTTGCTGTAATGCGTGGCAACGAGTCTTTTTAAGTCATATTACAGTATATGTGGACATGTGTCTATCTATGTGTAAATTGCTGTGTCAGGTTTTAGGACACGACAATGGGCACTGTAACATAGTTGGTCATGCTGCCATTTCGGATATGATTATTGGCAGCCTTTGTGCTTCAAACCTGGATCAAAAACGTGGTATCATATGGTATGTATGGTATGTATGGTATGTATGCGAAGAATTGAAACAATGTGACGTGAATGTGGCTACACACACATGCATGTGTGTGCCTTCGCACTTGCACAATTTGAGTTTGTCTATACTATGTAGAACTCTGGGTGTCTCTCTCTTTCTCTTTCTGTATATGGACTTGTGTAACTCATGGCCACACTACATGCTTGATGACTCAGTCATTGTTTGCACTCGGCCAAGCAATGTATGTACATACAGACAGACATGCAGACAGACATACCATACGTACATACATACATACATACATACATAAAGATATACATACATCCATGCCTAAACGTATGCGATAGGTTCGACGATACATCAGTGCATGCACAACATACTTGTGTACATACGTACAGATGCATATACATACGTACATAGGCTGATGCTCCTTTTCATGCACACATACATACATGCACACATATCATACATGCCGTAAATGCGTACTTACTACATGCATGGGTACGTACCTACGTACATCGAGGCAGATATGTACATGCATGAGTTTGCGTGCATATGTGTATATATATATATTTATATATGTGCACACATACACTTGTTTATCTGTTGTTTATTTATACATACATGTACATACATACAAATGCATACACACACACGTATCCCTGCATGAGGATTCATGCCGGCTCTTTGCAACCCGAGGATGTCTACGCGGAAGAGCGTGGAGAGCGGTGGAGGAGCCCATTCAGCAGGATCCTCTCCGGCGTTTGCTGCCAGTGCCAGAAAGCCCGAACCTGGATCGGCTGGGAAGATGAGCTGAATGAATTCCAAAGCTGTCAAGACCTCCATGATTCTGCGTTCAGAGCCCGAAGTTTGAGGCTTCATCTGCGCCTGACCCTAATCCCTAAAGCCGAAACCCTTGCCGAGGGATGGGCCTGCCCTCTGGCAGCTGATGCGAAGACCGTATCCAGATGCGGCTTGGCAAAGTATGCTCAAAGGATTACATGTCAGAACTCTTCGAGGGCGGGGGATGTGCTGGATTGCTGGGGCTGAGCTCTGTGGCAGTTCCGAGCAAATCATGCACATTCCTTAGGGAAACGGTCAAGGTTGTATCCGCTGAAACGTGCCTATGCTAAAGAAAGACTAGACGACGAGTCACAAGCCTCAACACGAAAAGATTATATACATCAGTACAGGTTCACAAATGGAGAGACAGATAGACTGATAGATGGATAGACCTGTGTGTTTATGTGTGTATGTGTGTGTCCTCATGGTTGTGCAGAAGAACATGCTGTAAATGGCTCTCTCTAATTACATACGCACACGCATTGTCAATATGTGTATATATATATATATGCTTCTGAGTAAACTTATATATATAGACAATATATCACTAGCTAAATACACCTACAAATGTAAATGCCAATGTCGACAATAAGTAAACAAATCAACCAATAAGCATGCATACACATATGTATGTATGTGTATACATACATATATATATATATGTACATACACATACATGTACAACCATGTTGATGCATGCTTCATTTATTGGTGCAAGCTTCAAATCAGGTCGAGGACAAGTTCCCTGAGAGGCCGGCCTTGTCGGATCTGGTCTAGCTTTAGGGTTTAGGGCTTAGGGAGTTTTTTGTGGAACTGTCCGGTTTGATGTTTTAGAGGGACAGCCATTGTAAAGCAGAGTCTCACGCCATCTGTATCTTGTAACCAGGATGTGTGGACCGGACGCTTCTGTCTGTTGTGCTTGTAGTTTCTCGGGTGAAGAAGGCTACTGTCACGACCTTCCTGAAAATGGTTGTGGGGCCGACGACGACGATCGTGATGTGTTGGAGCTGAGGATGATGGTGCTTGCTTTTGGTGCTGCTGGTACTGACAGGGCGATTATGCTGAAGAGCTTTAGCAACGAGCAGTCGCATCGTGACTACTGATCGCAGTACTGCAGTTGTCTTTACCAAGACATCGTAGCACTGTTGCTGTCAGTCTCATTGTCGCCGGCAAGGTTGACAATGTTCATTCGTGCATACAAATACACGATCAAGTCCACATTCACCTGTTGATGCATGGTCTGACATGACATGGTCCTCCAACATACATGATCAGTATCCTGTTCTGTGCACAGCCGGCAAAGTTGTGTTCTACTGAACTACACCACCAGTGGGTGTTGTCACATGCATGCAAGCTAGCCTGTAAGACCATTCAGCCCAGCGCAGATTTTCAGAGTCTGGAGTGTGTGGGTCTTGGAGTACTTCGATAATGACTGTTTCGATGGTGTCATATCAGAAGACATTCCATCATGAGCAAAGCAGAGGTGCAATGCATTTCTGCTTTGGAGGCCGGAGCGCTGGCTGGAAGCAACCGGCGAGTGCTTCGTACTTTGCATCGGCGTCTCCTGGCTAGTCACATCCGTCTTCAACCCAGGCGCGCTTGACAGTTGCACTGCACGGAATTCGGCTGGCCAGCGGCGTGCACGTTGCGTATCAAAAGCTATTACAATTACAATTCCAATGTGCTGAAGGCGTGAGATTTCCTACGCAGTGGAATGAAAAGCTTTGTAGGATGGCTCTGCAACTCATTGTCACGTACGCGCATCCGTCATGTTGTGCTTGCTGTGTGTCTTGGGTATGTTGTGCAGACGTGGTTGAGAGACCAGCAGGCATCTTTCGCGACAATATCCTTCGCAGCATTGTCGGATACAACAATCTTTGCGCCCCTTGGCGAGCAGCCAAACCCAGGCAGCAGTTTCATTTCACTTTGTCTGTAATGCCAAGACAGGACTGAGAAATAAACTTCTGCAATGTGGATGATTGTCGCGCGAAATGTGCCAGTTTCGGGACATGCAATACTCTATGATAGTGTGAGAAGTATCATGCAAGCTCACAGCAGGTTTTGGGTGTTGGACCTGTCTTCACCCATCGCAAACACCACACTCACGAAGCATTGCTGAGTTTTCAGGTAGTGTGGCGTACCCCTAAATGCCCTAAACCAAACCCTAAACCCTAAGCAAACGAGCACAGTCGACCAAGAAGCGCAGGAGGGGAGCGCGGCTTTGTAAAGTCCATTGCGCCCTCGACTTTCCCGTGTTAGTATTCGCATCAGGCTGTAGATCACGTACTTTGGAGTACAGCAGACTGCCATTACGCATACACTCCCCATTTCGCTGTGATTGTCATCGACTTAACAGTGCGAGTCCATGCGAGTGAGCCGCCATACAGACTTGTGCATACATGACACTCCGTACATAGTGCGGCATATACAACTAGGGACAAGAGGACACATGATGCTTCGTTGTCTGACCATCGTTTCTTTATCTGTTTGTACATGCTTACATGCATACATGTATACATGCATGCGTACATACACACATACATGCATGTATGTACAAACTTATATGTAAGTATATTTACGTATGTTCAGGAACATGAATACATAGGTTTTGTATGTGTATATATGTATATACACAGCTCATAGTGACGACTATAAAGCAACTTGTGAATGTAACAGATAGATTCAGACTGCAAATTCAGATGGAGAAAGAAAAAGATACACAAATACGTAAACAAATGAATAAATCAATGTTATTACAATGAATGGGTAAGGACATAAACATTACATAAAGTACATGTAAAAAAGATTCGTATGTATTTATGTATAGAAATATATATGTAATCTGTGTGTTCATATGTATGTGTGCATGTGTATACTCTGAAGTACTCTATAGTTCTATGTGCTTCAATCGGCAGGCGACATATTTTTGACTAGATCTTAAACCCGAAACTTTGCGAGCAAACGGAGGTTGGTTTTGACAGCCCTCCCGCGCGGTACGTGGCCATGCCGCTCTTGGTTTGCCAAGCCGTGCTTGCGGCACGTGCCTCGTCATCCGACACCCTTAAGGTTTTGAGAACCCCAAATCCTAAACAAACCAGAAGGCGTGGCGTTGAGGATAGCACCCGGAACGCCGACGGTCCTGATTTCCAGATGGTCATACAGGGAACATCAACAACCATCGAAACACGCAAAACCCGATCCCCGGTATATTCCAACATACCGGGCTCTTCTTGAGTTCCACATGGTGAACCAACGGGTATTTAGATCAAGGCAGAAGTGTCCTGGTTCCAAAGGCTGTATCCCCGGCAGGGTCCGAGGCCCAAACCGTTAAAACTAATGCTAAATCCGGTGAAACCCTAAGCCCTACACCCTAAATTCCTAAATACCTTAAATTTTTAGGTTCTAATGTGTACCTAAGCCTTAGACCTTTCTTCAGTTTCACGGGCCCAGGGCATCCCGCGAAGGGCATACTCCAGGAACCTCTCTTGACATGATTCCATCGACAGGTTTCGGCAAGCACGTGCAATTATGTACAACATATACATGTACATATGTATGTATTTATTTAACATTCGTAGTATACATACCTATATATATATATATGTATATATGTGTGTGTGTGATTATGTTTGTACCAATGATGCAGCGCAAGCACAAACAGCAAACTGGCACATATATCAGAAGACATTGAGATAGACATGGAGAAGCAAAACGAGTAGACATTCTATGCGCTCTGTACACAGGTAGATGGTAGATCGGAGTATCACACCTCTCCAACGCAAACGCAGCAAAGCAATGTCAGCGCCGCACACCTTGGTACGGAGTAGTACCCTGCAGTAGTACGAGAAATGGAAAGCTTGTGTTGCGATTTGCTGCAGTGTCATGCATGTCTTGTCCTGCTGTGGGCATGTATTGTTAGGCAGCATAGTTTGGCAGAGCGTTGAGAACTGAAGTGCAACACAGTCTAGCATGGCGTAAGAGCTCCAAGTACAGTGATGTCATACAGTGAACTTGACAGAAGTGCAGTGCGATGCAGAGGAATGCAGAGGATTCATGTCTGTAGCACTATGAAATTTGACATTCCAGATGCAGGCTATACCTATCTGGACACCATTCGTCTGAAAGCAAACCGGGCATACCTGACTCCGTGCCAATACTGGTCGCTTGGCAGGGATGTGAAGCATTCGAGCACGTTGCTCTGTGCGTTAAAATCTGCTGTAGACTTTGCCATTATATGAATTGATCCATCCGTGCATTCTAATTTTGGTGTGTATATGTTGATATATCTATATATCCATGTCTATATGTACGTGTGTGTATATATATATACATACATACATACATATACATGCATATGTATACACACGTTGACTGTCGCATATCGACAGTCGGTTGGCAAGGAGCTATCGTTGCTATGCGAAAGCAGAATCCAAACTCACGATTTCATAAATCCAAGCTTCCGTTGAAGTTTTTTTCGACTTTAGGGTTAATGGCTTCCGAACCCTCAAACCTTAAACCTTTATTCAGTCCTAAGTCCTAAACCCTAAACTGCTAAACCGAACTGCTGACAACATCTTCAGTGCCTGGGTCTGTGACACCAATACACACTACTGCTACTACTACTACTGCTGCTGCTACTGCCCGCCACTGCGACTGCTGCTTCCGCACTGCTAGAGTTGCTGCTACTGCTGCTACTGCTGCTTCTGCTGCTACTGCTGCTTCTGCCGCTGCCTGCGTGCTGAGGGGAGTGGCTTATGTGAGGATCACCAGTAGCCCTCGGTATGTTGATCTCCGACTTTTGTCTTTAACAATGGGCAGACATACCTTACGGCATCGGCAGCCTGTTCCTGGAGCTTTCCAATCCCAGAACCGACTACAAAATTCAAGCATCATTTCCTGGAGTGCAATGAACCCCCAGTTGCTTTCTAAAATACACCCACCCCCATGATGACACCAGGTAAACTCAATCTCTTAGGCTCGGATACTATGCCAACACTGTCTTTGCCGCCGACGCCTTAGAGCTTCTCAAGAAAGGGCAGTGCCCGCGATTTCTGGACGTTGCTTCTTGGGAGTTCAAAGGGCTATGTAGTAGCAATTCCGTTCCAGCACCTAAAATACTGCTGCTGCTCCTACAACAACAGCCACATCTACTACTTTGCTGTTGCTACTGCTACTGCTACTGTTGCTCCTCCTCCTCCTCCTCCTCCTCCTCCGCTACTTCCTCATCCTCATCCGACGACGACTACCCCAAATCTACGACTACTAGTCCTACTACGATTGCTGTATCATCTACTACTACTTCCATTTCTACTCCTCGTCCTTCTCCTCCTTGTTTTGAGGAGGCTTGTGGCTTTATCAATTCACGGGTTCGAGGGTCCCTGAGCCCTCCGAAAGCCCACCCTTGGTGGCCAAGTCCGTCGTGAGGTCTGGATGGCCTGCTTTCCAATGCTCCTCGTGATTACCGCAGAGTTTGACAGCTGGACGAGCACAAAGGCCTCTAAGGTTCAGGGGTGCTTTTGCTGGTTGGAGTTGAAGCAAGTCGTAAATCATGCGGACGTTTTCGTCTTTCTTTCCCGGTTTGGGGCTGGGGGTAGGGACGAGGTCCAAGAGGCTCCCAAGCGTGTCCCTTTAAACCCAAAGCTTTAGGTCGCAATCCCGAAGCCTCAAACCCGAAACCCTCAACAGAAGTTCGCAACTTCAAACACTTCCAGAATACAAGTTGCCCTTCAGATCCACCTGTTTCTCTTCATGGCGACGTTGTGCCCTGACTTATCAGGGGTGCATGGAGGTTGGGTCGAGCTGCTACTTCCATCATGATCCTCATCATCCGCTACTACTCCGACTACTCCGACGACTAGTGCTAGTGCTACTTGCAGTATGTGGCTCTAGCATAGTTCTTTTTGCCGCCTTGAACCCTTAAGGTTCATCATGTGGGCCATGATTGCCGGCAATGTCCTTGAGGCGGAAGAGGTGGAGCGGCTGGCCTGGAGATTAGTCCGGGCTTTCCTGCATGCTGCGGCATGGACAGCAAGAACCGACCCTTCTCCCCTTTAGGGCCTTGATGTGGGCTTAGAGTCTATTGAGGCAGAAGTCTCAGGAGCCTGTGGAGAGGGAGTGCACATGTCCACCTAAAAAAAAAAAGAACCAGTAAATTTCAAAGCAGTGGGCCAGCTGAGGACAGGCACACGGATCTGGTTCGGCTTGTTTACCTTTCACACGCTGGCGCTGCCAGCAGTCGGCGTGATTGATGTTCTCAACTTCCACCCGGTGCACGGCTCAGTGAAAACTGGTGCTGACCAGCTGTTGATTACTGGCTGTTGCTAGCTAACTAGCTGACTTTGCAACCCCTCCACCTACTACCTACGACCTCCTACCTCTACCTACACTACCTACTGCCCTGCTATTTCTTTTTTGCCGATGCTGATGCTTTCCGTCAGCTCTCCGACGGTCTGCAGCCACTCAATGAGGGCCGGTCTCCTCTTGCTGACACTGCAGCGAGTATTGCTACTTCCTCCACGCTTTCATCAGTTCTACAAACACACGGCCGAAAAGATTTCGGCGAAAACCACCTGAGAAGAGACTGGCTATTTCTGAAACCTCAAAGCCAGAAGCATAAACGACTGCAAGGACCTGACGGCGGCGGAGATACCTTCAATCAGATCCCTGTCTGCATCGGTTTAAGGTTTAGGGTTTAGGGTTGTGTTAGGGTTTGGGGTTTAGGGCAGCCCGAGCTCGTGGTCGCGGGTTTAGGGCCGTTGAGGGTTCAGTGCTCTGGTTTGAGGTGCTCCCTCGTTTTAGGGTTCAGGGTTTGGGGAGCTAAGGCTAAGTGGTTGGAAAATGTTGAGGCTTGGACTTTACGGAAGAGGCTCAGGAACTGAAAGGCCTTTGGGGCTTCTTGGCTAGCAGGCGGAGTCTCAGAGGATCGAAGTCGAAGGGTATCGAACTTTGAACACCATACTCTAAATACTGACGCTTCTCCTTCAACCCTAATTTCACCCTCAACTCTGAACCCAGAGCCCTGAAGGCTGTCGGACGGAAAAGAGCTTGCACAAGAAGATCAAGCCCTGAACCCTAGAGCATCCTACCCTCATGCGGTGAAGCGTGATTTTAACCCTGGGTTTAGGGTTTAGGGACCCCTAAACCCTCAAGCCCTTCATCCCTTAAACCCTCAGGCCGAAGGAAGGAAAACCCAACGTCGAAGCCCTGAAGTCCCGTTCTTCTAAACTCTTACGAAACCCACCTCAACCTTTTACTCCCACACTCGAAAGCCCCCTAAAGCCTCAACCCTAAACCCTAAACCCCTAAACCCTAAACCGCTAAACCCGTAAACCCTAAAGCCTGAACCCCTAAAGCCCTAAGCCCTAAAGCCTCCTCCTTGAGGGTTTGAGCGACCTCACCCGCCGGTGCCTTGGCCGGTCGTCGCCTACTTGGACTACGGTTGGCAGCTCGCCTGCGCGTGGAGTTCGGGCTTAGGCCTTGGGCTTAGGTTTGGGGTTTGGGGTTTGGGGTTTAGGGTTTGGGGTTTAGGGTTTGGGGGTTTGGTTTTAGGGTTTAGGGTTTAGGGTTTGGGGTTTAGGTTTTAGGGTTTATGGCGTAGGGCTTAGGACAAGCTTGCATTGGTTTCGGTGCTGTCAGGAATCCTTTCAGAGTGTTTTTACCAGGCTTCTCTCGGTGTTCCCATTTAGGGTTCAGGATCATCGATGCAGCGCAGGCAAATGCTTTTAGTGGATGACCAGAGATCTTCGACTGCAGCGGGGTCGAACCCTAAACCCTAAACCCTAAACCCTAAACTCTAAAACCTGCTCGGGGTCGAATTTCGTTTCGTACCTTTATGGGGCTGCTCATCTTTTGGTCAAGTGTCAATCGCTGCTATCACAGGCCCATAATTAGCCCAACATGCCCGCGGTTTCTGATTTTGGATGTGGGGTGTAGGGCTTTAGGGTTT